TTTTAATGATATTTCAATCGTTAATAACAATATAAATTAACAATAATTTTCGTAAATGTTATGTTGATCAAATTCCTCTATTACATACGTTTTGTATGTATTCAAGCGAGGTATCTATGAATTAACTACTTTCATCTAGTTGTTCTAAACGAGATTTATCAATTGCACTGAGTTCTAATCTTAGCCACCAAATAAAATATAACCAACTTGTAGTATCAAGACATCTAATCAAGTATAGTCTTAAATATCAATAGGAAATTACATTACATTATTACTTCTATTACTCTGGTATTTATCCTGATAATTTCACCTAACTATGCTTATTTATCGTGTGAGTCCAAACCGATTCACATACGCTTATGACTGACCGATAAAACTGCACAAATATAATTGTTCCTTGAAAGTTACATTACTTACTACTGTTACTCCTAATGGAGCATAGGACGCCGACCAGCATTCTCCAAACCACTGTCCTGGACCTTCCCTTCTAGTTTTATCCAATTGTTGTTCGTTCTTCTCATGTCTGTCTCCATTTCTCGGCGTAATGTGTTCTTCGGACTTCCTCTTCTCCTTTTACCTTGAGGATTCCAGGTGAGGACTTGTCTTCTGACACAGTTGGGTACTTTTTTCAATACGTGTCCTATCCACTTCCATCGCTTCTTCCTGATTTCTTCCTCCGCTGGGATCTGGCTTTTTCTCTCCCACAGGATGTTGTTGCTGATAGTGTCTGGCCAACGGATCCGAAGATTTTGCGTAGACAACTGTTAATAAACACTTGTATCTTCTGTATGATGGTTTTCGTAGTTCTCCAAGTTTCTGCCCCATACAGTAGATTTGTTTTGACATTTGTATTGAAAATTCTGGAAAAAAAATCAAGTTACATAATAGTTGTTAAAAATGTAGTGGTTCTCGACAAATACTTCAAGTGATACTGAAGTGTCGTAAGGATATCAATCTTAAAATTATTGTTTGCTTTTAATCTAATCCTATTGTTAACTGTTTGTGAATGACTTTCATGGCCTTTAATATAGTTCATTTTTTTAAAAACAACATTTAGTTGCCCGCGTTCTGACTCCTATTGGATTGTATGAATGCTATTGATATACGTATGTTGGCTATCCTCGTATATAATCATCGACTTAAATCGCGTTAATGAATAACAGAATTAAATAAGTCAAATACGAGAATGGATGTTTGAATACGTATATATTGTACACTCGTTGGTCGGAACAGACAACCAGAGAATCGCAGCGAAGAAGGGAGAGCAAAGCGAAACAAAAGGACGCGCAGTGGAGAAGGCGTGTGAACTAGCTCCGTTTAATCAAGCAATAATCAATATTTATATCCAGATAAAAATAGGTTACAGACATGTGATGAATAGGATAAGAAGTGTACACGCATACGCTCATATAAAAACAGTCAGGGTTGAAAAGTGAATAATTAACAAAGACAAAACGCGACTCAAGTAGAACGGATAAATTGGCTTGTTCAGAAGCTAGAATAAATTATATGGCCTTAACATAGCAACGACACTACAAACATTCCGCTCAGATAAAATCTATTCAATGTTTTTTCAATCCATTTATTATATTTATCTATACATTAATACATATTATATATTTAATTAATATGTACATGGGTGTGACATTCTATATTAGAATAGAAAAGTTGTCCAATACTCTATGGTTTTTCAGTGACTTCCTTGACAATTGTCAGTTAATGATATAGTTTGTTCTAAATAATCTAAGCATTTTGTAAAATAACCTTATGTTGTTTCCTCATTTTGCTAGGTAGATAGATAATTTTTATTCTTTACTGATTCATGATTTCAGTAACACATAAAGCAAATTACCTATTCAGAGATTACTTCCTGTTGTGAACAGGGAAAGAAGAAGCCCTGAGAAACTACGAAAGCTATTTTTCGGGAAATTATTTCATTTTATGCAAAGCTTGTAAAACACTAACATTTATTTTTGTCCCTAATCTATTCTACAGAACTTAAGCTTTCGTTCGATGTGTGATTCATTGCAATACCCTTTTCTGTTCCGAAGCTATTGTAATTTAACCATAATATTTTGCACCCTATTTTCTACTCTAATTCCCAGCTTTGGACATAATTGTATTTTTCCTAATTATTCCACATTGTGGTAGGGTTAGTCACCTATTTATTCATGTACCTTGTTACACTAATCTGAAACCAGAAGAAATCAGGAATAGATCGAGTAGTGTTCCAGTTGTCTTGCCTTCTCTCATTCGCGTGCTTGTCAGCCAATCAGGTGATAGAATATTTTTCTTCTCTCTACCGCATTTCGAACTCACGCGTCTAGCTTCAAGGTCAGGTCGGTCAGCCTATTGCGCCAAGTTCTTAATCTGGATTAGATAAGTATCCTCAGCACCAAAAGTGGGTAGCCAAACTAAAGGACATAACACTTCCTAATTGAACTGATTTGAATTCGTCAGTAAGCAGAAAGTATGAAAGTGTCTAGTTAGTAAAAGAAATGTAGTTTTTATGGTATAACTCAGGCGGATAGGATTCGTAGTGTAGCATTCTTTACGTTGAATAGCTTCATTGAGAAGCTGACATTACTATTCTTAGGAAGTTTGAAATATGTAAGAATAATGCTAATGTGAGATCCATGTAGCCTTGTGTATACGCTTGTGTGGAAATATTGTGCCCCCTATGACCAGTTTGTTGAATGCACATAGATTTGCAAATCTTTCTCCATTTTCGTTTCTTTCTCCCAGTCCATCTCGTCCCATAATATCTTCATATCCGGTGTTGTCTATTCCGACTTTGGCATTTAGGTCTCACAACAGAATGGTGAGGTCCTTTCTTGGGCACTTCTCTATGATTGAATGCAGCCGCTCGTAGAATTGATCTTTAATGTCGTCGTAGCTATCATTGGTGGGTGCATAACATTGGATAATATTCATTGTGATCCCCTCCTTCTTTGTTTTGAATGATGCTTTGATGATTCTGGATCCGTGAGATTCCCATCCTACAAGTGCATTTCGTGCTACTTTGGACAGCATAAGAGCGACTCCCTGAGTGTGTGGAGCATTGTCCTCTTCGTGACCGGAGTATAGCAGCATCTCTCCCGTAGCTAGCCTTTTCTGTCCAGCTTGGGTCCAGTGGGTTTCGCTGATTCCCAGTATTGCCAAATTGTATCTCCTCATTTCCATTGATATTTGACTGGTCTTCCCGGTCTCCCACGTTGTTCGGACGTTCCATGTACCTACAAAAATTTTGCTCTGGTTGTTAGAAGGGGCATCGGCCTCGTGGCTTCCGAAGGAACTCGGCTTTCACCATGAAGCGTCATAATTCTTCTAAATGAAGACCGTCTAACTGCCAGGGCAGAGTTAGAATGGTTTGAATTATTTTTTCTGGTAAGCGTTTTTTTTAGCGAGTTAGTTTTCTACGGGATGGGGACGCTAACCCCATGCCAAGCCCTCCTCCTTTACCCGGGCTTGGGACCAGCAGTAACTCTAGAAGAGCTACAGGCGGAGAGAACAAATCAGCTTCCAGCTGAAGAAATTAGGAAAAGACGATGGAAATGGATAGGACATACATTACGCAAATCATCAAACTGCATCACGAGACAAGCCCTAACTTGGAATCCTGAAGGGAAGCGGAAAAGAGGAAGGCCTAAGAACAAATTACGTCGGATAATAGAAGCAGATATGAAAAGGATGAATAGGAACTGGAAGGAGCTAGAAAGGATCGCCCAGGACAGGGTTGGATGGAGAATGCTAGTGAGCGGCCTATCCTCCTTCACGAGGAGTAACAGGCGTAAGTAAGTAAGTAATACTAATGTAATTATTATAGAATATGTTAGTCAATATCTTAAATTTTTTCAAAGTGAGATTGTGAGCCGATCAATGTTAGACCACGATTGAAAACCTGGAAGCACTGGACGGTTATTTCGTTTTAGTAATGAACTCTCTAGCAATGCACATCTACGACTAGCTTTGAGAGGTAGTTCTCGAAGTTCCAGTTAGAAGCCCGTGAACACTGGCGTTCAACCGTGTCGGATGAAGCAGTTACCCACCGAAGGCGATGGAAGATGGTCGCGAAATAGGATGGATTTGTCGAAGTTAGATGTTAACACCGTTGGATACCGGTTCATTGGTCTAGAAGTTAAGCATTCATGCACGAGACCGAAGATCCTGAGTTGGAATCCTGCATGCCGGATCGTGGGTGCTTAATGCTGAGGAGTCCCATACTAGGACGAAACGGCAGTCTAGTGCTTCGGACATTTCCATCGTGGTCTAATATTGATCGGTTCATGATCTCAATTTTAAAAAATTCAACAATCTCTATACTGATAATTACAAGTACTTAAGATTTTCATGTTAGTGAGTAATTAACTGCACTGTCACTAATTGTGTTGGACGTTCAAACTGTTCCAAACCTACTTTGGATATTATGGCAGTGTGGCTGAAATTCTAGTGTATAAACCTATACTTGGTTATTCAGTCAGATTAAAACAGAATATGATAGTATTATGAAGTAATTTATATCTTATTTGACAATTCTTTTATAACCTTGAATCATGTAGTTCTACTGAAATATCAATACTTGATTTTAATTTAACTGTGAAGTGACATATTTTCTAGCATTTCAAATAAAAACTTGTTGAGAACACTTATCTGTTAGATAATTCATCCATCTTTTATTAACCTGTGCTAGAATAAATTTGATTCCATAAGAAAATAATAACATCAAATCCACTAGTTACAATTGGTTATCCATCATGTGATTCATTCATTCATATAGAGTTTCGGGTAGTTAGTGAAATAGTTATACAAACATATACGCATGCGCAAACAACTCTGTGCTCAAGGTCAAACGCTTGATTAGCACAAACTATTGATTACCTTTCATAATCTAATTTCTGTAAATATATATTTATAATATTCATATTGTACATATATACATATATGTGTGACAGTGTGAAAGTTATTTTGTAAATTAAGTACATAAACGGAAGTAAAGAATACAACTACAAAACTTTTTTTTACTAAAAAATAAAGCAAAAGGACTCGAACTTAAAACAACAACAACAACAAAATCTAATTACAAATATTATTGAATTTGTAATGAATTTTAAATCTTTCAAAGTTAGTAGATTATAATAACAAATTCACCATATAAAATGCGTATGGAACAAAGAAAACATTCAAGTTTATTATCTGAATTGGAAAATATTTTATCAACAAATGATAGGAAAATTAAAGTTGGTAAAGAAATATTTAGACAGTAAGTGTTAATTATTGTTTTTATACAAAAACTGTTATTCAATTCACTTGGTATTGTTTTACTTGAATCTTCTCATTGATGTTTAGAACTGCAATTGATCAGTCTCTTATTGGCATATTTTCATACTGTGCAGATTGCCTCGATATTGCCTTCAGTCATAAGCATAATAAGCAAAGATGGATGGTGGTTAGCAGTGGAATCTAGGACGTGTGTTTCGTCCTGTTCGGCATTCGTCAGTTTGATGTACCTGCATCTCATAGTTGATGTTCACTCTGGATTACGCGATGGCGTTTGAAGCGAAAGGTACTGGGTTCGAGTCCTAGAGTGAACAACAACTCTGAGATGAGGGTACATCCAGCCGACGAGTCCGAAATAGGAAGAAACGTGCGTCCTGGATACCATCACTAGCAACTATCTATATTTGCCTATAAAAACTGTAATTATTTGTGTTAGATAATGAATGAATTTATGCATGAATTTTTCTTCCTTTTTTTAACTAAAATCATACTTTTATTTTAGTTATAACGATTATCGTGACTGTAAATTTGATTTTTATGATAAATCTTATTGAAAATGTCTTAGATAATTTAGATGAATTAATGAATGCTAAATTTAGTAGATTAAATTAAGTAAGTTGATCATACTAGTAAAGTAGATGTATTACAAAACTGATGTCTTGAATGTAATATGACTTAATTTAACTTGTTTTAAGTTAAGGAAATTCACATTGGAATGTGATCATAGTCTATGAAGTTGTTGAGTAGTGATTTGAGTTTTGTTAGATGGATTAAAGTTTACAAAGAATTATAATCTATTAATTTAATAGTTGGATTGATGAGTCAATTGAAGGTAGATCACCATGGAAAACCTGGAAGCACTGGACGACCGGTTCGTCCTATTGTGGGACTCCTCAGCAGTGCGCATCCACGATCCCGTCTCGCGAGATTCGAACTTAGGACCTGTCAGTCTCGCGCGTGAGCGCTTAATCTCTAAACAATTGAGCTGGCATCCAACGGTGTTAATATTTAAATTCAATCAATCAACGAAATTGAGCAACACATCCATCATTGTCTTCAGTGAGTTACTACCTCACAACAGAACCGGTTGAACTCCACTGGTCACGGATTCTCACTAGAACTCCAGGAAATATGTCTAGGAGGCTGCCGCCAGTGTAGTTCAACCGGTTCTGATCTACCTTCAATTGACAAATCAATCCAACTATTAAATTACTATAATATATACAAAACCCCTCTCTGAATGTATTCGAATGTTTACTTTAAAATTCAATTTTTTTGAAACAAAATAAACCTAAAAACTCCATTCAATAATTTTTTCGTCTATTTCCTACAAATAATTAGGAGTAAATTGTTGTTTCATTATTAAATCATTATACTGAATCGAAAATTTATATTTGTCCATATACATTAGGCATAAAATTGTCTATTCAAATATGATAATAAATGAAACTTAAATTCTACATTGTTGGATATTTTGATTATACATTTTGTTAATACATTAATTAACCTAGATAATTTGTTGAATTTTGAATCTTATCTTGACAAATTAAACTTACTTAATTACATCTGTTACTCCTCATGGAGGAGCATAGGCCGCTCACCAGTATTCTCCATCCAACTCTGTCCTGAGCAGCCTTTTCAGTTGCTATTTATCCTGTTGATGTCTGCTTCCAATTCCTGACGTGGCGCGTTATTCAGCTTTCCTCTCTCCCGTTTCCCTTCAGGATTCGAAGTTAGGACTTGACTCATAATTGAGTTTGGTGATTTCCATAATGTATGTCCTATCCACTTCTAACGTCTTTTCCTAATTTCCTATTCAGTAGGAAGCTGGTTTGTTCACTCCCACAGTAGATTGTTGCTGATGGCAACCAGCTAACGGACATTCAGTATCTTACGTAGACAATTGTCGTCAGCGTTTTTTTAGCAACGTTGTTTTCTAAGGGATGGGGTTGCCAACTCCATGCCCAACCTTTCTCCTTTACTTGGGCTTAGGACCAGCAGTAGCCCTAAAAATGCTACAGGCGGAAATCGACGAAGCAAGCATTTTATTTAAATCATATAACTCTAATAAGGAGAAAATAGTTTATACAAAATCAAATTATTTTCATAGCATGTAAATACATACATCTAGGATTTTTAATAACATCAATATAAGTTTGATTTTTTAACATTTAGAAAGGCAGTGAAATTTCTTATTTCCTATTTTGTTATTCTATTCATTCATTGAATAAGATTTTTTTTTAATAAGACGATTACATAAGTATACATATCACTAAAGAAGACTGTTTCATTATAGAAGTAAATGCAAACTGATTTATATTGTTTTGAATCTATGTTTATAACCAATATCTACGTGATACAAAACCTTGGATTTTTTTTATTATCGAAACATAATGTATACATAATATTCGTGAATTAAGCTTACAAAAATCGTGAAAATAAACCAATTATTATTTCCATTTATAAGAATTAGCCGATTTTATGTTAACTCCCAATATTGATTATCAATGAAAACTTAAAATGTTTCATTTATCAAGTAAATATTTATATGATCGGTATTGAGTTACACCTTAAGTGTATAGGATAGTAATATTACTTCACTAATTAAACCAATGTGAATGGAGTTCATGTTTAAACCTAGGAATTACAAGCTTCAAACCACTGCTTAAAGCACTGTATTCGAATATATATCACTCGGAATATGTATAAATCAATAAAAAACTTCCTTTCCCAAAACAGAAATCATAGGTTTATTCCATTATGTATGGTTAATTTAGTTGACAGTAAGAATTACCTTGATGAAACCCCTTAAAACATCTTCGACTATACCAGACAACTATTGCGCATAGTTATGGTAGTACCTGTGATATATAACCTCCATTCAGGTGACCTTAATTGAACATTATTTACAGGGTAACTAGTGTTGATGTATTGTCTTCCAAGAGGGAATTGATTTTTAAAACAAATTATTTCCTTGATAAAATTGGTGCATTACATGAAACTCCGGTCAAAATTCACTGAAATGGTTCAGAAAAAAATATGCGAACCGCATTGTTCAAATTAGAATAGACACTAAATATCCATCCTTTTCTGCGATTACGGACACGATAGAAACTGGTTGAGGGATTTAACCAGAAACATCCCTTCCAGTATAGCATAGAAATAATCAAGGGCGCCCGACTATATTTACCGAAGCCTTAAGCACAAAAGAATTTAAACTCCTGTTCTGTATTCATAAACAGTTTGCATTTATTCTAAAACTACCCTTGTATTTTTGATTTCATTATTCGATGTCAGTGACAATGTGGACAATTTTATTTTCTTTATTATCCTTGTTTTTTTATATTTCTAACTGTCTTGTTTGACCTTTTTAATTGTTTCCAAATCATTGGTTTGTTTATTAAACAATACAGGACAATTCGTAGTAGTTTAAGAAATAATAATTAACTAAAAGCATGTTACGGTCGTATGATTTTCAGATGATCTGAAAAGTGTATAGCTCAGGCGAATGGTTTTAATAATTTTAATATCGATGATGTGGTTGGGTTGATTATGAATCTTCCTCTGGTATTCTAGACAATTTATATTTGAAGTAAGCCCTAATGATATTATCTAAAAAGGTAACCAAAACTTTGCAATTAAAACATTCAACTCAGAGAACTCAACATCACAAAGGAAATACTGATCAACATCTATAAAATGCTTTATATAGAATGTGTTATATACCATAAATATTAAAATGAAACTTTGGATCAAGAGATTTCATTAGTATTCAACAATTACAATTAAGTATCTATCACTTCACTGTGGATTCAATGAAATTGACTTCACTGAAAAGCAAAGCTACTTATTTCATCAATACCAGCTAGATTTATATCCCTTATATGAATATTTTTGAAATCAATTATAATTATCATTGTTTTTATTACAGTGTAACAGTTAATTGTAATGAAATGTGTTAAATATAATCATTAGAATTTCATGATTCAGAACTTTTATTTAGTGAGAAAAGCATCATTGAGTATTGCTGACCAAAAAATGGAATTAAGTAAGCTGGTTTCAGAAACAAGAATCAGTTATCATCAATACGATAGCCAGTCGAAATTACGATCATATAAGTTAAAATGATCTTCAGAAGGAATAAAGTCATCCAGTACTCGAATTATATTACCAGAGATAATGCCATAGCTTTCAGTCAGTATAAGAAATATAAATTGTTACTGAAAATTGTTCACTGGTGATATATTTGTCTAAATCTATCGCGGAATTAGTTTTTAATCATATAACAAGCAGTCGCATAAATGTAGATGGATTGAAAGCAAAGATATTCTCAGTCGATAATATTTACAACAACAAATAGATATTTTTTACAGGTAATCGTGACGACTAAAGGTTGCGATTTCTTACCATTCACTGATAACAAACTTCAAAGTCCTATCCTCACCTTTTTACTCGATAGGAAAGAAGCATGGAAATTTGTATTTTTACAAACATTTAAGTACTCCTGCCTCATTACCTATGTGTCCATACAGGTACAATAATAGGCTACAAGTGACCCACATAACAAAAACATTTCTGATACAAAATTGGTAAACAAATTTGCAGTTAAACGGCCGTTATGTTTGCCAACACCTTGCCAAGTACGGTTATGTTTATTTTACTGTCAAACACACTCAAAGTGTGGGAGTTAATAATACTACCTAGTTGCCCAGACCAAAGCGGGGTGGACGTGGTTTGAAAATGCAACTTAAGCTGGATGCCGAACACTTTAATTACCGAGCTAGTACCGTTAAACTTAACGGGTAAAAGATAAATCAGTAATTATTGAGTCAAAAAATGGATTAAAGTTAGTAATAGTTTAAAAAATAAAATGAAAAATTTGTTCAACAAATGCTATTTAGAAAAATCACAATCTATATTACTAAGAAGTAACTCCATTTTCACATTCTATCTTATCCATAACCCCTCCTCATTCTGAAGGTGGTAATTAAACCACTATAAAATTTTCAATTCTAATTTCTATACTAGTTACACTGTACTGAAAGTTTCCAAACTGTTTATACACTCTTTATTGGTCATTACTGTCGTAAGATAAAAAAATACATAATTTTTTATAAATGTTGCTTAAATTTTGTCTTTATTGTTTGTTCGTTTCCATGTTATTATCAACTTTAACTGAAGTTTTGCAAAATAATTGGTCATTTAATTTATTCATAATAACAAATTACGGGAGTGAATTTATTTATGCTGAAGAGTTTTTCATTCACTAGTTGTTTTGAAAGTTCTTGTTCGAAGCTAGATAACGTAAGTTTGAATTTACCAAGTAGTACTAATTCCCTCAAGAGGACAGATACACATTACTGAAGAATGTTGAACAGAGCTAAACCTAAATTCAAGGTTTTCTGTCGACTACTTTCAACCATCTGACATATATACACTTACATGCGTTTAGTCCAAATCACTTATTATGCTATCAAAAAAATACTTAGACTTTCGATTCAAGAAGACGTACATAGTCTTAAAAGTTAGGTAACAGAAACATTCATTCATCATAAATTAGTGCCTGTTATAACCATTATTTTACTAGATACAATTTCCAGAATATCTGAAGTGACCAAACTTATAACTGACCATGTTATAACTGATTAGGCTTTAGATAGTCATATAACTGGATTCTTGACTGATTATGTAAATACAAACTATAGATTCAAGTTTGTCATTTATATATAGAAAATTCGATAAAAGTGGTTTGATTTTGTTGTTTAACTTATGAATAGCCAAGGCCAAAGCAGAAGGTCATAAAACAGTCTGTATTTTAAATATTATTGGAGGTGATATCATATTTTGGTGGTTAAATTTTCACGGGTACAAGCCAACACATACTGCTGAATATATGATGTGCAAACAGTTTTAGCCGAAGACACAGTTCAGATTTTCAATTGTCGACATTTCTAATAGAAACAATGATAGTGATAACAGTGATTTTCATAGCTTAATAAGGAACATTTTGATGTGCGTTTGTGACCTTATCAGAAGCTTTTCTTGGTTTTTATTCACGTTTATTTTAAACTTTATGTTTGTCAGCAAAATGATTATAGATTTTTACATTCAGTTTCCTCTGAAACATGAACATAAAGATCTTGGTCTTCATTTTATGAGAAAATATAAGTTAACTTTCTAGTGCTCCCTGATTTTCGACGGTTCCTTAATTTCCGTCGATTAACAATAGAATATTTGAAAAGATAAGAAAATAACTCCATAATCGAGGAGTTTGTTATCACGGATCATCTAATCACAACAGACTTGGTGTTTAAAGTTACCTACAAAGTAAACAGAAACTTGACAAAGACAGTAACCTTCCGTTTTTTCTAACATTAGCGAAGCCTTTTTCATATATTTATGTTTAAAAGAAATTTACCCAACTTTTAATATCTCGGTCTTAAACTATAGTTTCACAAAGTTATTCACCTCTCCTCACACACTTTTTTCTGACTTTTTACACACAAACAACTTTTTTCTCAATTCCCTATCCAATTACATTGAATTTCAATTTAAAAGTTTTATCTCATCTTATTATACAATGTTTCTCAATAGGAATAACATATTTTTCATGATTTTGTTAACAAGTAAAGAACATGATTCATTATAACAAAAATATTATTTCAACAGTTGAGATCATGAGTCAGTTGAAGCTAGACCACCATGGAAAACCTGGAAGCACTTGACGGCCGTGTCGTCCTATTGTGGGACTCCTCAGCTCCACAAAACCCCTTCTGATACTAATCAATATATACTCACTTGTGACTGGCTTCAAGAGATATATCCTGGAGTTCTAGTGAGAGGCAGTGACCAGTGGAGTTCAACCGGGTCAGTTGTGAGGTAGTAACTCACTGATGACAATGGTGGATGTGTTGTTCAATTTCGTGGATTAATTGAAGTTAGACATTAACACCGTTGGATGCCGACTCAGTGATCTGGTTGGTCAGGCGCCTGACGCGAGACTGACAGGTCCTGGGTTCGAATCCCGCGAGGCTGGGTCGTAGATGCGCATTGTTGAGGAGTCCCACAATAGGACGAAACGGCCGTCAAGTGCTTCCAGGTTTCCCGTGGTGGTCTAGCCTCGAATGACTCATGATCTCAACCACTAAAATTACTATAATATCCACAAAACCCCTTCTGATAAAAATATTATTAATTATCTTTGCTAAAAGGTATATATTTTTTAACTGTTTAATTTTTAGATTGAATTTTTCGAAAAGAGAACGCTCCATATGATGCACTCTTTCTTGTTCTTATGTCCCAATAAGTATATTCTGATTAATATTTTCAATGTATTTTATTACTATTTAGCTAAGTATCCATTTATGTCACTTATAGTTAGTTGCAAATCTATTCATGAATAGATTTGAAGAGACAATATTCATAAACTCAATCTAACCAAAAATATTACTAAGATGCATTGATAATACTTTCATTTTATTATAAAGTGACGTACACCACTCATTGTTGTAGAGGTTAAATAAATGATGTAACTATACTTATCTTAAAACAAACGGGAAGAAAGTGGATATTCTAATGGTCTTGTTATCAGGATGACAACAATCAAACGAATATTGAACTTTTAAATTTTCACATTCAATTAATGTTAAGGGATCAGTAATGTTTAGTCAATTGAGAAGGACATACACGTTAATAATAAATGAAAAGGAAAGGAAATGGGGACTAACAAAAAACAAAAAATGTTTTGAAAATTAAATAAATATCCAAAAAAAATATTCTCAAAAAAATCTATTCATGAAAATTTTACAAAATCATGAACTAAAACAGTCATCATTTCATAAAGATTACGCATATCAGCTAGAAACAGAAGAGTACTCAACAAATGTTACATCAATATATTCTTTAAAACATCAAATGCGTTATGAAGTAATCTAGTTTGTGTAAAATATAAAATACTTAACAATTCGCAGTATAGTTGTGTCTGAAAAACAAAATGTTCAAATAGTGACAATATACATTAGACAAACTTCACAAGAAATCAAAGTTCGAACAAATGAGCATCGTTAAGCTTCTATTCGGCTACGGAAAAATTCAATAAGGTTTGAAAAATCTTCAATCATAGGTGTGTTCGCTATGATAACAGATCACAAGATTGATTTTGATAATATTGAAACCATTTTAAAACTTTTTAATTCACAAAGAATGTTCCATAGTAGAAACATTTAAAAATTCAAATGGTTCGAATAGATATATGAGGATAAGACAAATTTGATCTGGCCTCAACATCCTCCTCTCTTTAACCAACATTGTCAACATAAATTAATAATCAACATCTACCTATTATCAATTCATTCACTCGATGATATTGAACTGCTACATATAGAAGAGCTTTTATTGAGTTAATATAAGATTAAAAAATGGTAAATTGACTATTTCTATCATAAAGCTATTAGTATTAAGTAGTGAAATATCAGTATGGACAGTTTTGTTTTACACACATTGCAAAATAAGAATTTTTAATGAAGGCGAATGTTCTCCTTTACACTTTAGATAACTTCTTTGCCTAATAAAGTTTGTGAACTTTTCATTTGACTTATTCATTTAATAGTTGAATTCATGAGTCGATCAATGTAAGGCCACCACAGAAAACCTGGAAGCACTGGACAATCGTTTCGTTCTAGTAGGGATCTCCCCAACAGTGCACATGCACGATCCCGAACGAAAGATTTAAACCTAAGACCTTTGGTCTTACGCACGAACGCTTAACCTCTAGATCACTGGTCAGGCATCCAACAGTATTAATGTCCAACTTCAATCAATCCATTATTTTGTGCAACCCTTCATGCATTATCTGAGGTGGATAACGGTCTCCGCTACACACGGACTGGACTCCATTGGTCGCAACTTCTCACTAGAACTTATGAATTCAACTACGCAAATTGCAACAATCTCCACAAATCCCTATTCTGAATCCTATTTACTTAGACGAAACCAATGATATCTGAGCATCAGGTAACTGGAACAATTTGAATGATCGTTTGTTTCAGAAAAATATTTATTTACCAAATAACTAGAAATATAGGAGTGAATTATAAAGATATTATAAATCATTTAACTAACTTAATGGTAGAATACTACCCAGTTATTTTATTTATTCATTAGTAAATAAACAAATTCAACAAAAGTGTATCAGCTTTAAAGTAATAATAATAATAATCATAATAAAGTCAATTGATTCATTTAAAATTTACTTCTTGTCTAATCAGCTGTAACTTTATTTATTTAATGTTTAATTTTTCGTCAAAATGTTTTATTAAACATTGATAAATGTTCATGTGTGTCGTGAAGTTCTTCATTTTGACGTCAATTAGATCGGACGATGTTGTTGACAGGCTCATCACTTTAAAGGCCCAAAATATGACTAGAGGTCAATTGTATGATTGATTGTTATTGAAATGTACATATCGTCAATCCTCGTATAAAATTACTGACTTAATCCGTGTTGGTAAATAATGGAATTAAAATAAGTCAAATACAAGAAAGGATTTTGAATACGTGTATTTTGTACAATCATTGATCTGGACAGACAATCAGAGGGATGAAGCAAAGGAAACGAAGAGAAACGAGTAAATTGAAATGACGTGCAGTGGATAAGGCGTGTGCTCCAACTCGATTTAATCAAGCGTTAATCAATATTTATAGTCACACAAAAATAGGCTATAGACATGTGATGAGTAGGATAATATGCACACACACATAAAAACAGAGTTGATAAGTGAATAATTAACAAGGTCAAAACGGGACTCAAGATGATGGGTAAATTGATCTGTCCAGAAGCTAAAATAAGTTATGTGGGCTTAACATAGTAACCGACACTACAGTGTTTAACTAAAATGATTGAAAAAATAAATATTGGTTAAGTACTACATATGATCATAAAACCGCTAATAGATTTTTTTTATATGGATTGAATGAGGCTGCCAACCAGCATTCTCCAACCCAATCTGTCCTGGGCCTTCTTTTCTAGTTCTATCCAATTGTTGTTCATTCTTTCTATGTCTGTATTTATAACTTATAAGCCTTATGAATTATACTACTGTTCTTACTACTGACAATAGTACTCGTGAATTTAGTTTTTGCGTAAATGAATTAATATTTATTCTTCTGGATTATTTTATTGACGAGCTTGATAGTGGTTGATAATGGAAGCAGGACGAATATTTTGTCTAAATTTGAACTCACTGTATATAATTACATTCTACTGTTGGTGGAACCAATACAACTTGAACTCAGTAATTATAATTTAAAAAGTTACAAGGTTTTACTTATGCTATTTAATCATTATTATGGTCACTAATTATATAACGAGTCTGGTATATGTATTATTATTCATAGGAATCTTGATAATGGTTTACAGGGCTTTAAAGTTATCGAGTTTCTAACAACGAATAGCATGTATTCTGAATCTATTATTATTCATTGTCTGAAAAATATAATCGATTTTCAAATGTAAGCAATATTGATACATCTATTCAATGAAACTCATTGCGCTAACAGAAACTACTCAATTCAGTCTTGAATATCAATGACTGGAGAATGGAAATTCTCGAAATAAAAAAAAAATTAAATGATTCAATCAACAGACCACGACATAATTATTCATTGAGTAATGCTACTAATAATTGTGGGTGGTTATTTGATCATAAAACTCAACATGTCATACTCAAAGCTCAACTAACTTAGGAAATATATGGTCGTTTTTAAGGTAAATGATGTAGTGAATACATTGACAAGTAGTTTAATATAAATATTTATTCATTCATTTCAATGAAACACCTTGATCATCAGCATCTATATGGATTCTATTTCTAGAAGACGACAAATAACTAGATAAATGAGATAAGTAGGAATAGTCGAAGAACAAAAACTAGAATATTATTCAATATACAAAAAAAATCCAGTTGAATAAACTTTCATTAGATAATCTATCACTTATAACTGAAAAACTTATCAGTCCTGGAATTTTTCTTTCCAATATAACCATGTATATTTTCTATAATGGATAGATTTAATCACTTAGCAATTACTTTATATTTCTATTGTTTAAACTCATTATTAAACATTATTGACAACTATCATCAAACATTTTATTTAACATACTTTATTTTTTTTAAAAACTAAAGAAAAACAAAACAGATACAACTTACAGTGTAAACATTATGAAGTGTGTATTTTTGATATATTTGATTAGAATCATATAATTATTGACATTAAACTAACATCTTTCTTTTTCTTTATGCCAACACATGATGCTTATTTATAACTAAAACTGTTAGTTTCGAATTCCAATCCATTTATGATTGCAAGTTATTTAGTATGATTATTATTATTATTATCATTAGTAGTAGTAGCAGCAGTAGTGGTAGTAGTAGTAGTAGTCGTAACAGTAGTAGTGGTGGTGTTTTCACTGACGATAATTACAAAATTCTTTTTGTTTTGTTCATCAATTATTTTAGATCAATTTTTTTCTGTTTTATTGTTTTTTTCTCAAAACAAAATATTTTCTCTATGGATCAATAAAAAATTAGCACATTTTGTGTACAAGATTTAATTTTATTAAAATAATGTAAATTCCAAAAAAAATTTCTTAGTTTTATGACATAATTGAATAGCTGATAGTGTAGTGTGTGCTGTTGATGTTGATAGATATAAGTAGTATATACCATCAATTGGAAGAGAAATAACTGAAAGTAAAAAGGTTAAAAAGATCGAAGAAAAGTGAACGAATACAGAGAATGATTACTATGGATATGAAGGAACAGTCAAGTTTGAGACAATTGATTGACATTTTTTCAAAGGAAGTATTTACTGTATGGTTCTCAGATTTTACTAAGACGGTCTGTAATTTTGTGTTCAAATATATTCGATTATTCTCACTTCTCTTCTCGTTCACTACAAATGTATTTATTAGAAATCAACATTAAATATTGACCGAAATAATCTATCTATTATGTAATTAGCTATTTGTTTGGTTCATTTCCAGAGTTAATTACATTTCTGAAAAGTGTTAATTACCAGTATCTGCAAAATTATTACGTGCGGTATGTTGAAGAGTGAGAGAGAGAGAGAGAGGATGACAGAAACAAGACTCATATTTAAAAAAGTCATAAATGACGTTAAGACTTATAACATATGTATGATGTATAATTACACTAATCAGTTATTAAGTTTTCGTTGACGACATATCTAGTCATCAATGATAAACTGACATTTTGTCAGTTATATTCTAGAATGTAATCTTTAAACCAAATTTGATAATTAAAAGTAATTAAAGACCCAGTAGAGAAAATTCACTGGTTTATTATAATCTATCTGTGATTGTCATATGTATAGTGGAGATTTGACTTTTTCTTTAGTGATATCAAATTACTTTAGATAAAAAACAAGTTGGTTCTAATTTTCCGATCTATTTCATCTCTATGTTACATTCAATTAGGTTTTTATGTGTTTTGGAAGATATTCAGTTGTAAAAAACATATTCAAAGAAAATAATGCATATCAAAATTACTGACAAAATTTTAATTCATTTTACATAATTTTGATCTTTATCATCTCATCACTGATACTTAAGACGATTGGAGATTTTTTTGATTTCTTTAGTAGTTTTCAGTTTTGCATGATAATTCTCATTATGAGGTGAAAACTCTGAATAATATGAAAACTAATTTCAACTTATTAGGCTGAAAGATGTTTTTTCACGAACGAATGACATCTGTATCATAAATTTACTGAATTTAGTAACTCAATAGAGGGTTATTCACTTGATTTTGTATATTATTTAAAGATTTTGTTTGGTTGTCGAAGTCTAAGTACATGAAGCGATGTTATAAATGTGTTATTGTTAAACTCTTACACCATTTTAATCATAAGACGTAATCGTTAACTAAACAAATAATTTGAAAACTTCCAATCTGAATCGAACTTCAATCTCGGTTTTCTTTCATCACCAATGGTAATCTTCATAAATAAAATCTAGTCTATCAATAGTTCTATTATATTTAATTGAATTTTAGTTTTGTCATGAAAGCCAAATTGACCAAATTACATGAAGCAGTGCAAAAATTTGCATATTTCTCATTATTATGATAGATTTAGTATAGAAACTTGATAAGTAAAAATGAATTTTAAATTATCTGAGCTTATACGTCGATTCATAGAATATCAGACCGTTGGTGATTGGATGGATATTAACTTTATTCTAATTTTTCTAGTCTTTTCATTAATTCATTTTTTATTCAAAAATATTTTCAGTATTAAAATGAAGAGAAAGCCATATATTTATTTTGGTTTGTATTTGAAAATCTGAATTATTTATTTATTTTAATAGACCACCATTGAAAATCTAAAAGTATTGGATGTTCGTTTCATCCTAGTATGAAACTCCACAACAGTGCTCATTCACAATCTTACATGGGCGACTCGATCCCAGGACTTTTGGTCTCGCACATGAACGTTTAACTTCTAGATCATTGAGCCGACACCCAACGATTTTAATATAATTTAAATCAATCCATGATTTGCCAAACTCTTCATTCATTGTTTGAGGCGTATAACTGTTTCTATCCGATACGGATTGAACTCTTGTTATAGTCTTTAAACGAAAATTATTCCATGAAATTTGATTTATAGTTAAGATTGTAATTATCCAACTATATTCAGGTTGAATTTACACAAAATAGTGTTGTTGGTTACATAGATATTTTTTGGTGTAGAGTAATTTACTTCAAAAATTACTAAGAAATGTTTTAATATTTAGTTGATTTAATCCAGTAAATAAAATATCCTAAAACTTTTATCCCATTACATATTTATAATAATCAAACACGTCTCTGAGTAGTATAAGTAGTATGTTAAAAAATTTTCATATGATATGTAGGACATTGAATGTACCTACTATAAATAAAATTACGTTTTGATTGTAAAGTGATATCATCAAAATTTATTGAAAATTCCAAATATTCATTTTTCTATTCATAATTTAATATTATAAAATTAACTTTATAATAAATGTTTCTTGAACATGGAAGCACTAGACGGCCGTTTTGTCCTAGTACGGGACTCTTCAGCAGTGCGCAATCCTGAGGAGAATAAAAAACAATTATAATAATTGATTATCGAAAGTGTTTTTCGTTCAATTTTATTAGTGTTTGTGTACATAACTAGCAAGAAAACTGAAGATAGAAAGTAAAACTTATATTTTATAGGAGTGGTCAGCTACTATCTATATTTACTGGTATTTATCTTCACATTCTGTTAAAGATTCTCATAATAATATTACATTAAACGTAATGCACAAAGTATAAATATTATATATCGGTTTGTATGCTTTTCTTCATTTAATTAGACTTTTAATAAAAAATCCTCATTATATGAAAATGTACAAACCACTTCAATCAGTCACTTTGCCTCAAGCATTGAATTTAGATTATCTTACTAAAATGGCTATATGTTATGTGGATAATATCATGAAAATTGTGAGAAATTTTAATGAAGAAGAGAAATTACAAGAAACGGTAAAATATTTAGCTGCAATACACACAAATCGTGGATTAACAGTAGCTCATTTTGTGGTATGTTTATTTCTATATAATCAAATGTTTATATATATATAATGTTAATTATACGCAGAGATGGCTAGTGGCTAGCAGTGAAATCCAGGACGTGGGTTTCTTCCTATTTGGGATGCGATGGAGTTTGAAACGAAAGATACTGTGTTCGAGTCCCGGAGTAAACATCGACACTGAGATGCGGGTACATCCAGCTGATATGTCCCAAATAGGACAAAACGTGCGTCTTAGATTCCACTGCTAGCCACTATTTATCATTTCTTATAATGTTTGTGAACTAAAGCAACTTTGAGGCAATTTGTACAGTATGCACATATGTCAATAAGAGACTGGTCATTTGCGGCCCTCAACAACAATAAGAAGATACAAGCAAATAACACCAAGTGAATTTACAATGTGAATTTGTTTAAAGGCTAGAAGTGTGCAGTCTTTTAAATATGAAGTTATTAGTTTGATCGGTGCTTAACGCCTAGGTTCGCTACACTAAATAACATGTTTTTTTATTACTTATTTATCTTAGTGATTGAAATATGTTGAAAAACGGTTAATTTGATCAAGAAACTAACATTTATACGATGAATGATTGGATAAATTGTTGTGATCGTGACAGTGATAAAATAAACATTCTTGAAAAAATATGTACGTCATGGGGGGATTAATTATAATAAAATCCGAATTATTAAATCAGTTTTATCTTACTCTAGTTCAGTTTTCTGAAATTAGTCATAATGTTTAGAGGTCAGTTTTATTTGATATATATATATATTTGCTGCACTAGGTATTGCGAAACCGAAATTCCAATGCGTTTATGCATCCTTTCATTGTATGACAGCTAAAGGGATAAAGTATGACTTAACAGGTTGACTTATAGTTGATGGAATAAAATTGATCTAGTTACTTGGAAAATTCTATTCTATTGAAAACTATATTCCTAACTAGTATAAAACATTCGTAACTGTCAAAAAAACCCATCAAATAGTTTATTCATTACAGTTCTTTACATTGTTGTTGTTTTGCAAATAAAATGTAATTTATTTAATGCATATTGGAAAATTGATTTTTCTGTAATTAATCAAATTGTCAACAAGTTTCGATAATGATTATGTAAATTGAGCCCAACTATTAGATAATCATTAATGATACTTTATTAATGAATATGATATTTCATGTACACTGTTTACTGCTATGTGCATGTATACACAGATATCTATCAAGTTGTGCAATTTATGATACATTAAACAATTCAACACTAATGATATGAATAATCCTCTAAGTTAATTGGCTTATTTTATAATTTTGCATCAAATATTTTCACGTTTTCATACAAATTATTTTATTTTCTCTTTCATTAATTAAAAAATTATTAATTAATCGAATCGTCAACTACAAAATACGATTATTACTACTACTATGATAACGACTACTGGGTGTTTCATTGTATGAATTCAATTTAGTCCATTCTACCTATATTCACTGATACAATTGTATCATATATGGAGATTGATGATAATAAAGAGAGTATGCAATTTATATTGTCAACTGTATTTCCAATGATTGGGAAACGCCTTTAATTTCGATTAACATTTTCTATTGAAAAAAGAAATGTGTAATAATAATCATAAATAAATAATGATAATTATCTACATATTCACTTTTCTTTCTTTTATTCAATTAAAAATGTTGTTTATAGATTAGATTATCAACGTCTAACTACAGTTTCAATTAAATTTCAGTTGAATATCATCACTTTCAGAGGAGATATATTAATTTCAATAAAAGTAACACATTCTAGAATTGGATAGATTAAACTATTTGTAATGCCGCCTTATTTATTTTAAACTCTTTATCTACTTTATGTAATGTAAACCCCGAATATATATAATCTTGAATGCTTTGGTTGACTGTGGTGTGCCAAGGTTCACTTTATGTGTTCAGTTCTTGAAAGAAAAATAAATCGCTCATCGATATTGCATGAATTACAAAAAAAACCTGTCAAAAATAAATGTCAGCTATTATTTTAGAAATAATCACTCCATTTAACATTATATTTAGCCCGGTAACACTTATTATACATGGAAATCGAATAATAAGTTCTCAAAAAATAATTTCTTATTAATATTAGCGGAAATATTGAGAGAACGAAATATAAGTGTTCACATTCCTTTATCATAGAAACTTACACTATTATCCCATGTTTAATTTTTTCCTGTTACTTGGCATTTGTCAGCAAGGTGTACCTGTGATCTTGAGGGAACTGATGCTCCCTGACAGATTCGATCCCGTGTCATCCGACTTCACAGTTAGAGACGTTACCACTTGGCTATCCAGGGCGCGATTTACCTCCCGTCGGATTGAGATGTATTTACAATTGATCGATATCGAGTCACCTAGATTGGTGGCTGATCGCAACTGGCTCAACAGGATTCGATCTGCACTCAGAAGGACCTGACATATATGAAAGTGATCACCGCCTAGTGATTTATCAATTAATCATTTGTTTTCGCCTATACGATAATTAGGAAAACGAAATGAACCTGATACGACCAGTTTAATTTCAAATAAATTGAAAATTAATGTGATAAAAATTTAGACATTATTATTCACTGGGTGAAATCAGTGTATTATGGACAAGTTTTTCGTCACAGTATATGAATGGTCTAGGAAAAGTATAAGTGATCATTACTCTTGTAAATGTCAAGTGTGAAAATCTCATTTACATAAAATTTAAGCTACTGTACAACAATCATTTCACGTCTTTAGAACAGTTTGTTTTCAGCTATCGTCAGACAAACGTATGTTTGGTAACTAGGCTTAGTTGTCTTAAGATAGATTATAGGAAACACTAAATCTAAAAGTCCAATTGTTAAGGTCATTGTCAATAACTCCGAAGTCATGGGACTGTGTTCATATTGCATATCTAACCAGCGTTTATTAAATTCATTCCTGGCATAAATGTATATACATTAATCAGTCAATACTCTGCGGTAATTAATTTCAAATATCTAAGTCTTATAAGAGGTCACTTCGCTCCCAAACACATTGAAGGTGGCATCCCAGAGAGTAAAGCTGGATAACGTAGGCTAAAATATCACAATTTAAGATCAGCTGTCTCAAAACAACCTACATCTATTTGAAGTGTCAAAATCAGCGTGAAATCCAAGTCAAAGCTTTCTTACCTACTTCTCAAAACCTTGTATAATAAAATTACTGTTTTTCTGAACACGTGTTGGAATGGAGCACTACCTGATACAAACGGGTAACTTCAATCTCCAAGAACTAATAGTCGGAAAAATTATTAGTTAGAAATGATTACAAGAGTCTGTGAACTCAGGCACCGCAGAATAGGATATAAAAAAGTGGACATCATTTAGTCGGTAACTTCTCGAATACCACTAAACATTTTTTAATAAACAATCAGTCATAATCACAGTTCATATCGACGAAACAACTCAACTCAAAATTATTCATTATGACACGAATCAACTCATCAGGCACTTAAAACATTTTCCTCAGGATCAAACAATAGATTTATTGCTTGAGTAGTAATAGATATTCCAATCCTAAATTCCATAACTAAATGACCAAAAAGAAAAATTATGACGAGTTACTGATGACATATCTTGTTAATAAGATACAACTGAAAACAATGTCGATGTTGCCTGATCACTATCTAGAAGTAAATCAATCATCGTATAACAACAGTCAAAACAACTATTTAACAAATCAATAACATCCAGTAACATTTATGCCGGTAAACAAACAACTATCCTACATAACATTAGGATCAAATGAAATATTATTGGTCAGTTAACGACCTACAACTAGATTGGTTTCACGATTATCTTCATGTTGATTGACTGACTGACTGATTAAGTGATTGACTGATCCTTCATGCTTTGTATGTAAATCGATGATTTTTTATTCAAACAAAGGAATATTGAGTTGGAAGAGATTTGCTCCGAATTTCCATATTCAACTGAATATACACATGAAGTGTAATCAGAATGTGGGAATATTCATTGTTATTTTTGTGAATATCGATTTACTCGACTACACGTGATACAACGAAATGTCGAGAGAGCAACATCCTTATAAATCCTAAAAACCTAGAATTTAAATTTATCATCTCAAATCAGCGATAGTTCGCCTAGTTTATGTTCTGATAGACCGATCAATTGGTACACAACGATATTTGAACTATGGTAACTGAGTGAAGATAAGAAGAGAGAAGATAAAACTTTCAACAGACTTTTCTATTGTAGTTGTAAAAAAAATGGCACTTTCCATCTGTTGGAACTGAATTGACTGATATGGCTTAGTGGACGTACGAAGCAATGATTGCAAATGAGAATTTTACTGTCCACCAGATATAAATCAAAAACTTTAAATACACTGTGGTTTATTTATCTGATCGATCACCAAATTCGGATAGATTGAACATAGCTATACCTGACACTAATTAGTCAATAAGCTAATGTATTTATGCAGTTTACAATGTCAATATAAGTTTGACTGTTCTAGCTAATAAACCTAGCCAAATCGCTGAAATACACATTCGCCTCTACTTGACAGTTTTGTGCCTCAAGAAAAAACTGTAGAGTGAGTAAACATATTAGTATATACATAATATTTTATAAAACGAACTGACCAACATAAGTAGGTGTCAATTGGTTGTTATTACCACTTTACAAATGTCACAAAACTAATTGTTGTTGCGACGTCAACTCACATTAATAATGATGGTGATTGATTTCAGAATTGTTAAAAATTATTTCTTTAAGAACAGCTAGTTCAAGTTAGTACTTAGAAAACTGCGATTTGTTTGAAGTCATCAAGAACTTCGAACTCTGTTTCCTTTAAATACTCATCGACTATAAACTAGTGAAATATCTGTCCAGTGTTTCAGAATTATAGTTGGGTTTTACCTATATTGTTTCAACATGTGATGTTTCTCATCCATTCGAGAATATCACATACTTTAACAAACCGTAAAACATCAAATATATACTTTTTTTTAATTTTGGTGCTTTAAAACAAATAGAGTATATTAAGTTTTAATAATTTTAAATTCATAGCTCAACTATGAGAGGTTGGTGAATTTGGAAAAACACATTTTCAAATTTTTATATAAATTAGTTACCAATAGGAATGCAGATCAAATGATAGTTGATGGATAAATGCGTTAATCTCTATTGGTAAATACTAACAAGTACTGTGGAATTTTTCAATAAAACCACTTTTCATTATTGACGATTATTTTTAAGTACTATAGAATACAAGTCTAGTTCGTCTGAATTTATCAACGGACACAACTGTTATATTCCGATAAGAATAATGAATGGTAACTTTTGGAATCCATTTACGAACCAATACCGTGAGTACATTTTTATCGTATTATTGTTAAATAACTAAATTATTCATATTCATGTCCCTCTTATTATGAGCTTTATTTTGACCTTTGAACTATTATTATACGATATATCATTCTTGAATTATACCCTGTCTATTAATTACTACCTCCCACACTCACAGCCACATTTGGCTACATCATGTACAAATGTTATTTTCCGTTTTATAGACGATGTGGTCTGTCTCGTTGGTATATGAACCCAATATGTTTGAAATAAACAATTTATATCGCGTAGTCTGAGATTGGTGTTCTGGACTCAACTGGCTGGGCTAGGCAGGAAGCAGGACCAATAAGGACTCTAGACTGCTCGTACTTGTTTTATGCGTCATTGGTCCGCTCGATAATTCACTGCTCTCTAGTTGACGGTATCATTACGTTATACATCAACAGGGCACACAGACCACAAGTTATAACAACAACCAATTAAAATTAATTATTAGCCAAATGGAAGAAATCTCCTGAATTTAATTGAACTAAAATAAATTGCTCATATACTTTAGTGACATAAACCATATCAGAATGTTACTAGCAGATGAACTATGATAGATGTTAAGTGTATTATTCAGCTCGAGAAATATGAATTTGTTATTTTTTACGAGCATAAATTACCATATGCAAACCCCATAAACATTAAAAAATCTATTATTATTATTATTATTATTATTATTATTATTATTATTATTATTATTATTATTATTGTTCCTAATTGATTATACTCAGTACTATTATTTTTGCTTGTTTATCAATGACGTAACATCTCACAGAGCTATGCATACCCAGAGTTTTCATATTTAACTTTAAAAAATTAACGTTATTTAAATAGTTGGAATTCAACAGTAGGTAAATTTTGTACACTCTATTCAAATAAGAAAATATAAACTAAAGAATTTTTGAGCATAAATATCCTAAAATAGTACTGAACAGTGAATCTTCATCGACTGGGATTCTTGGGCCACGTGTTGCGTATGCCTGAACACCGATTACCGTGACGCACAATGCTGACTAGTGTTGGGGATGGTTGGAAGAAAGTTAGGGGCGGCAAAACCAAAACGCGGCACCAGTGCTTGAAGTCACTAACTTCTAGTTTGAGTTATGTTGGTAGATTCAGACTACTTGGTTGGGGTCCGTGTGATTATCGTAACATATGGTCGGAGACTCTTG